AGACATACATACTGACATACACACACACACAGACATACATGCACACATACACACTGACATATATATTGACATACACACAGACAAATATACATACTGGCACACACACAGACATACATACTGACATACACACACATATACAGATAGACACATACATACATACAGACATGCATACTGATAGATATATACATACATACTGACATACACATACACATACATATACACACACCTCAATTATCAGCCACCCTCCTCTTCCTTACCTTTTCATTGCAGGAGGGTGGCTAGCGATGATGGGAGTGGATGCCTCTGCTCTCCTCGGCTGTCTCTCCCCCCCGTGCGGAGTAAGCTGGGAGTAAGTGACCCGCCATCACTTCCTCCCAGCAGCACTTGCGGTGCAGCTGCAATTATTTTTAAAGGGGCCCGGTCGCGCTATTTTATGCATCATTGGATAGGATGAATTAAAATGCCATACTCCCTTTTAAGTAATTGGAAGACACAATTCAACCAAATGTATATATTGTCAGCTAAAAACCTATATCTCCATAGCAACCCTATCTGTTAATGGAACAAAGGTGTTTTGAGAACCTCTCTGATAATTCTGACCCACTAGTGCAGTGGTGGAAACCTTTGGCACACCACATGTTTTGGCCTACATCTCTCCTGATGCTTTGCCAGCATTAGCCTGTAAGAGTATTATGGGATATGTAGATCTCTTTTTATTTTTGTTTTATGTAACCATTCATTGTTAAGATGAACATAATTGTACACAATATAAGACACAAGTAACGCTTTGACACAAATATTTTTTTAATGTTTTTTTTTATTCATAAAGAAATAAAATAGTTTTAGTGTGAGAGATAATCTTTGGATATGTTTTCCCTATTATTTAGAAGGTGTGCTCTTTTATGACATTATAAAATCATTAAATGCATGTTAAGTAACCTAAAGTATGTTAAATTCAACTGCTCTTAAAGCATCCTGTGTGTTAAACACATGTCTTAATTCATTCTGTAAGAAAAAAAACTTTTCAGACGATTTATCTACAGGGGTCACAATTGAACTCTACAGGAATATTTGTAGATAAATCATAAGAAACTTTTTTTCTAACAGAATTGGCTAATTTCTGATTCAAACAAATAAAATCAAAGCCATGGTAAGCTATGTGCAGGATGTTGCGTAATCCTTTTTTCTTTTTCGTTTAAAGACAGAACCTTGACATAGACAGATCATAATTGCATCTTGCTGAGTCCGGTTTGGTCTGGAGCACTGCTACTGTCACTAGAAGAGAAAGTTGAAAATTTGAAACTATCGTGGCAGTTTTTCATCACTCACGTTAAAAACCAACAATAGTTTAAAGATGTAATATATCTAAAACACACAAAGCCGTTGTAATAATTTTTATACTGCAAAGGTTCAAAATGTGCATTCAAATATTTGCTTTAGGCCAGATTTCATGTGATGTGTCAGTAGAATTCTGGGAGGTAATTGAACCAGGCTCATTTCTTGAGGCTGTAGATTGCATATGTTTTAAATTATTTTTAACTGTTTTCACAAAATAGCATTGCAATTTAAAATATTCAGAATCAGTAAGTAAAAATGTGTTGATATGTGCAACTGTTACAATGACAGTTTAAAATTCCTCTACTCTTTTATTAAGATATGCAGAGACATAAAAAGGAACATTATACTCATGTTTGAAATAAAAGAAACAAATATATTATAAAGTGGGTAACATGTTCATTGCATGTGTTATGCTTATTTTTTCATTATTTGTTTATTGGTTTTGCAGCATGTTGTGCATATTCATGAGCATTTCAAGTATTGTATTTTGCATACAGAGTTATTCACTAAAAGGATTCTATAGTTTTTCTGGCACTAAATCCTACAGTAAATCCAACTGCAATAATTACCACTGTAGGGCTAAGGTACATGGGACATTGCACCCAGACTACTTCAATAAGCTAAAGTGGTCTGGGTGCCTACAGTGTCTCTTAAAGATGAGAATTTAAAGTGAATTTTAAATTTAAGACAAAAGTAGCTGAACTAGAGGCATAGCAGACCTAGAGAACGTTTCCAGTTTTGGTGTTCTTGCCTTAAATCTAAACTTTAAATTGAATTCTCACTTTAGTGAATAACCTGCTATTTTTGCACTCATCTCTGACTTGTATTATAGAAATAATACCATTTTCCTACATTACAGTACATATTGTAATGTAATCTCCTCAAACACAAGATTCACTTTTATTAAAAACCTCACTACCAAGTACTTGGTCTTGAACCCAATAGCTGTATTAAAATATTGTTAAGCTATTGAATGATAAGATATTGTTCAGTGGCCCAACATGTGGATGTATTAAAAGATGTTCGGCCTATTATTGCATTGCGCAATTTGATATTCATTGCTAATTTTTTGTGTGGTATATTGTACTGTTATTATACGAGGAAAACAAAAAGAATTAACCTAGGGCCAAAATTTAGATATCACAAGGTAGAGGGCACAAAAAAAGGGGGGTAACCCCTAAATGGTGAATATCATAGAGAATAAACAAAAAAAGAAACAAATGCCATTCTACCTGTGTATGATTTACTGAGAAGATTGTAGATTAAAAAGTAACTTTTAATAAATAAATCTAAAATAAGAATATAAAAAAGAAAAAATAATATGAACAGCAGGAGTAAATGGAGACTATACAGCGAGTAAAACTCTGTGACTACTTATATAAGCTGTAAAAGTGTATACATAATAACACTAATGCTGAAGCAATACTGTTTAGCTACAATATAACATCAGTGTATTCCCAAGTAATAGAAGTGATACTATATTATATATCACTAATAGCTGTAGCAAAAAGGGGGGGGGGAGATAAGACAACTGCTAAACCAGTGCTGTCAATAGTTCAGCTAAGACAGATTTCTGACAGACGGCGATTAGCCAGTTAAATATCACAAAAGCTGCCTAGATCATAGCAGCATTTTGATAATAAATTAAAGCTTGCTGTCAAGCAGTAAAGTGTAAAATAAGGGGTTGCTGACCTGGCTCCGTTTTTTTCCTGCAAGATACCTAGCAGTATATTCTAGTGTAACAACAGCTGCCTGCACTGAATGATGTTAACTTATGCTTGACCACAGTGGAGCACAAAGTAGTAGCTCACCTGTGAAGGACTGCTGACAGGCAGCAGTTAACTGGTTAAAAATCACACAAGTTGCCTAAATGCTAGCTGCATCTAAATAATAGGTCAAAGTATAAAGAGAGGGTTTACAAACAGTTTTGAACAGGTTGCCTAGGTAGTAGAAAATATACAGACAGTGACAGAGGAAGGCATATAGAATAAAGATTCCTGAGTCTTGTGCCTTCGAGGGCACCCCTTAATAAAATGCCTGGTCTTATCAATCTCCCCCCATACACATAATAAAGGAAAAAGAAAGAGAAATAAAGTATGTACAGAGTACACAAAATTAGTGTTAAGAGTCTCCAATATGCACTCCTGAAATGCTGGACATAAATGAACTTGATGTCGGTAATTTAGCAATAGATAAGCAGAGAGTTAGATGCCGACACCAATAATGTGTCAGTAAGTGTCCAGAGCCCCTGACGTGCACGTTTCGCCAGTGAAGCTCATCAGAGGGTATATTGTACTGTAATTCATTTATGATAATCCAAGATTAATTTAAAAGGGCTAGCTACACTAGCTACACTTCCCTTAAATTTCAGCATTTTACATTTTTTTGCAAACAGTTTCTTTATGTGAAATATTAAGTTGGGAAGAAAAAGATCTTTCCTGGTTATTTGGTGTCCTGGAGACAATCACTCAAAACTTTTTATTGTTAGGACAATATCTTACCAACTAGTGAGATAGATGATCTGCAGACTTCTCTAAATATCTTCCTTAATAGTGTTCCTGTTTCCCTCTACAATCTGACATTTATACAGAATAGTAAATGAAATAGAGCCAGTAATCATTAAAATGAGTAATTACATAATGTATGCTGTATCACCAGCTGTGCAGGTTCAGTCTAACGTGTAGAATGAGAATGTGTATATTATTCTCCTAGGTTTTTAAACTAAATGAACAACATGATTGCAGAATCCATATTTAGAACTGTCTACAGTCTCATCAGGATGATACTATTTCAAATACTGCATAATATCAAATTTTCTCTGATAATATCCAGGCAAGTACAGGATAGGTAAATAAAAAGCTTACCTGCAAATACAAGTGAAACTGTTGCATATGCAGCACCTAAAACCTATGCAATGTCACCTACTACTCTTTATTTGCAACTATATCAACACTTATAATTCTATAATTAACCCTGCTCAGTTTAACGCATTGATTATAAGACAGTCAATATCCAGCTTGTTATTATTATTATTATTATTATTATTATTGGTCTTTATATAGCATCAACTTATTCCGCAGCGCTACTTTAATAGAAAGTCCATGTTTTTCCAGCCGTATGGGTGTCCACCAAACCAATGCGAAATAGTAAGAAAATGTATTGCTTTGCCGTAAGTGAAGATTTTATTTTTTTGCTACAATGTCTGTTTTATGAAGCACAATATAACTTGCTTGTCACATTGGTACATCTCACAATTTTAAAAGTTTGTTATTTTATCTGAAAAAGGAAAACAATTTATTGCTTTGGTTTGCTGACTCGATATACAAAAGAAATTACGAATCTCTAATATTTCGCACAGCTTTTGCGCTATTTATTTTGGTGTACTGTCAGAGAAGACAGGTAACTAGTTTGGCCCTTCACTCTTCACATAGGGACGGTTAATGGGGCCAAGAAAAATCATGGTCTCCAAAACGGCCGCATAGGGTCGTCTTATAGTTAATCCTGCTCTACCCATGGCAGCTTTCCACACAGGTTTACAGGCTATATGGAATATGGCATACAATGTACTGGATAATACTACATGTAACATACATTTGTCATATTTTCCAATTAAAAGTGATCAAAGAGCAACCAAATATATCTGATATAGTGAAGCAGGGTCACTGGAAATCCTGCTGCATGTTCAGTGAAAGTGCTCTTCTAGGAGATTGACAGGTTCTTGTACTGCTAGTACTATACCTTTCCATAATGGATTGTTGTTTTCACCATATTAAGTGTTTCTTTTGTTGGTGTTTATACATTGACCATATATTTTTCTACAGAATAAAAGATTCTGACGGGTAAAATATCATGTAACAAAAGATTGTGAAAGTGTGTATTTGGTTAATATCTTTAGGCTCAAGACAAGAAGGTGTGCCTAAAGTACGTGTTGAGCCCTACAGAGAGCCTTCAAGCAGTTTCTGTCATTTCAACAGATCTGGTTTAAACTAACCCTACTGCTTGCCTCCCCGTGTTTACTGTAAACAAAAGAAGCATGTCTGGCTCCTGCCCTACTTAAATTCTCTCAAAGCAATAATTCCTTTCTATTGCTTGCTGTGTAGACAAAGATTACAGTAAGAAATCAAAGTCTAGTGAGAGGAACACACAACAAACACACATGGTATCACACTTTGATGCACTAAAAAAACAACAAAAAAAGCAGAGTTCATTTTAGATGGATCTAATTCAAAAGGAGACACATAGTCTAAAAGTGATTTTAGAAAGTGATAATTAATACCCATAACAATTACCAGAACTTGAACCTTTCTGTACTATGAAACTATCTATCCAATAATCATATTGTTTTACATCTGCAAATGATAAATGCACAATACATGGTAAACAGATTATTTGCATAGATGTTAAATCAAGCATTGCATTGATTATAGTAGTGGATTTGGATACAATTTCAGAGTATAAATTCAATAAATGTATAGGAAGGAAAAAATGGAAGCCACAGAGGTTGAGAAAGGATACAAGGTGAACACCAAACTGTTTTCCAGTTGGCTGCATGTTTTTGTCACCCATTCAGGATCATTAAGTGCTGATGTGTATGGATTAATGTAAAATGTCCACTGAATGTAACTGAACAGTAAACGTAGGTGAGTCTCATATCATTTACATATAAATGTAAACTTTGTTTAAACTATAGTGCTAAATTCTGGCAAACAACTTGGAAAGCATATGCTACCCATTATATCTGGAACAGCAGAAATATATTATTTTAATTTATTTATATAGTGATATCCATAACAATGGCTGTGTTCCAGAAACTGATTGTAAATGTGTTAAATTAGTGATCCCTAACCTATAGGCAGTTGCCCTCAAAGGACCAGACAAGTTAGTAGCCAGGATGATACAACCATTTAGGGCAATGTACCACACCACAAAGTGTAAAGAGCAGTTACTTGGACTCATCCTTGTAGGGAGCATTAGATCTCTTTAGGCTACCGGTGCTTGCAGGGACAACATGCCCCAAAATAGAACCTAGAAACTAGGTAATATGACACCTGTTTATGCCCCAAAAATTACAATTTAAAGGGTAGTTAAAACTGAATTTATACCAATAATCAGCAAAAGGGGAGGGAAAATCCAACACTAAGTTTAATAAGAAGCGAAGATTCCATTGGTCAGGAGAAAAGCCAGTAAAGAGGATGTAATAAGAGTGAAAAAAAAAGAATAAGATAAATGAAGTTGGCCACTGTGACAAATAAAAAAGTGTGAAATAAAACAATGGAAGGGAGAAAGAACCATGATCTGGTGCAAAGCCATGGGAACAAGCATGGAAAATAGTTTTAAAGAGATATGTAAAACAAACAGGGGGTTAATGGATGGGGAGGAGTGGTGGGAAGTAATGAATGGGGAGGCGTGGTGGAAGGTAGAGGCTCGAGTGTTATAGAAAGAGAGAAAGTTATGTAAAAAAGATTGTGCACAATAGCAGTAATTGAAAAAGCAATAGCACAAGGAAAGAACAATGAGGGACAGAAAGATCTGTAAAAACATGTTGAGATTACATAGATTACAATAAAGTAGGGGTCAACAGTGGGAATCTGTAGAAGAGAAGGGAAACCTCATTGGAAGAGCAGAGAGACAGTGATGGGACATTGAGAAGAGCACAATGAGGAGAGGAAAAAAAGAGTCCTCCGTACAAGATTGGAAAAACATATAGGCCATGAGGTGACTGATTGTAGTAAACCTGGAGGTTGGGGATAAGAGATCTTGTAACTAAGCAGACAGAGTACGTGGCCAGGACATGAAGCAGATGAACTAAAAATCCATATGTTAGCAATTGGGTCTCACCAGAATATTTTGAGGAATTAAGAGGAATTCAGAAGGGTACCTCATACTCAAAAAGCAGGTGATTCCAGTTATTTCTATATGTATATGTTTGGAGTTTTCATATTAAAAATATTGATGGGAATAATTTCCTAAATAAAGCATGTTCCGCCTCATAATTATGTAATCCAGTTAACTTATAGAAACACAGTTTGAGGGGTGTCCAAGTGTATACTTAAATTTAAGATCTTTTAAATTGCAAAACAATACAGTAAAAAGGTAGCTATGTAGTCCATGCTTAAAATACTGTAACTTAAATGTTTAATGAAAAGGTCTTTAGAAGTAAAGGGTTATAATCAATTATGAAAGTCGGAATATCATATAAGGTAAGCTAAAATAATTATTTCCAACCAGCATACATTCTATAGACCAATCTCAGAGAAACGTTTTTATAATACAATATTATTTGTAGCAATATTTAACAATGTTGAACCACATGTTTTTATATTTGAAATACAATGAAGTCACAAGAATATGCACAAGTACAATTGAACCTAAATGTTTGGATGGCACATGCTGGTCTTGTACTACACTGCAGCATCAATGTATATTTTATCTCAATTAACAACAATTGTAAAATCAGTATAGCAAAATATTAGTAAAATAAATTCTTATGATCATTTTCATATTCATAATGACGACTTAAATGTGTCGATAGTGTGGAGCATCTTTTGAGCATGCCTATGGCAATACTTATTTACGTCTCCAGTTTATATAGCAATGTTTCAATATCGCTGAGTAATGCATTATTTTGCTGTTATATACAAAGGGACCATAGTAATGGTGAAGACTGAATAGGATTTAATATGTTATAATGAATGTTCTCGTCACCATAAGGACAACAAAATGTTTGTAGTAAACAAAATAAATTGCTCAGTAAACATCCAATGTTAAGTATTGTTTTAAACAATGCTTAACAATGTTATATCATTCTCTTATATAATTGAAAACTTTTTTTTAAAGTAAACATAAGACTTTTGGTACAATCCCATATTTTATTTTTGTTTGTACATACCTCATGGTGTTGATATTTCCAGATGCTCATGGCAAGCCTGCCTTTTTTCTAGTCCTTTGTGTGATGCACCATTTGGAATAAATGTATTAAATTGACATATTGAGTACTGTGGAAATTAATTAAATTGATTTGCATGTTCTGCTTTTGTCATTTGTAAAATAAATTGCTGTATCAAAAATGATCATGTCCAAGCATATTTGGAAAAAAAAACGTCAGTCCGATAAACACAGTGGCATCGTTTTAAGAAATAAATGGCCTGCTATTTATACTGATGTACCTGTAAATCTCTATGTAATATCAAATTATACATGCTTACTACTTCCTGATGGAGATTCTTTTTATGCTTGTAAATAGGATGTAAATTATGATCCCTTGCTAGGACATGTGCTATTAATTTATAGGTGTTTCCCTGAGCCATATTTGCAGTTAATGTTCATATAAGTTTAAACCGCACCCATTGGTTTTGCCTGCATCAATGTAAGCCTTCTCAAAAGATGACTACAAGGTGGTTATGTTTCCCATAGTCAACGTTAAATGAGGGAAAAAAATAAATGAATATATATATTAACCTATAGAACATTATTGTCTGCATTTTCAAGTACTTTTTTTATTATGGCATTTTGACTCAAATTCTAGTGGATCTTTGAGACTGTGAACCTTACAACTCAATTTATATTTAACATTATTGAACCAGAGTTACTCATTAATCTGTGAATTATGGAGAGTTGTTCAGTGAATCACAAATAGTAACTCACAATAGACAAATTGGAAAAATAATTAAACTCAGGTATTCTCTCACCTTGGCAATTCTTTACAGTCTCCATTTAAGTGAATACAACCCAAATAATCCCCATCTGATCTGGTTGCTCCTCTTGTCTTATTGGGTATATACTCTTATCATCTACTTCTATGAGGCACTGATAAGGAAATTTCAAAAATAGCACAGTTTGGGTATTTCCCTACCTTGGCTATTTTGGCCTACATTTTCTACAACTCTTAGTGAAAAACTCAAAAATTATCCTCACAAGTGAATAAATATAAAGCAGAGCAGGACGATTAATTCACAAATGCCAGTGTCTCTACAAATTCAGGAACTCTGAAGAAATGTATCAATCAAGTGAAACTATTACAACACACTGCAAGTACAGGGAGTGCAGAATTATTAGGCAAATGAGTATTTTGACCACATCATCCTCTTTATGCATGTTGTCTTACTCCAAGCTGTATAGGCTCGAAAGCCTACTACCAATTAAGCATATTAGGTGATGTGCATCTCTGTAATGAGAAGGGGTGTGGTCTAATGACATCAACACCCTATATCAGGTGTGCATAATTATTAGGCAACTTCCTTTCCTTTGGCAAAATGGGTCAAAAGAAGGACTTGACAGGCTCAGAAAAGTCAAAAATAGTGAGATATCTTGCAGAGGGATGCAGCACTCTTAAAATTGCAAAGCTTCTGAAGCGTGATCATCGAACAATCAAGCGTTTCATTCAAAATAGTCAGCAGGGTCGCAAGAAGCGTGTGGAAAAACCAAGGCGCAAAATAACTGCCCATGAACTGAGAAAAGTCAAGCGTGCAGCTGCCACGATGCCACTTGTCACCAGTTTGGCCATATTTCAGAGCTGCAACATCACTGGAGTGCCCAAAAGCACAAGGTGTGCAATACTCAGAGACATGGCCAAGGTAAGAAAGGCTGAAAGACGACCACCACTGAAAAAGACACACAAGCTGAAACGTCAAGACTGGGCCAAGAAATCTCAAGACTGATTTTTCTAAGGTTTTATGGACTGATGAAATGAGAGTGAGTCTTGATGGGCCAGATGGATGGGCCCGTGGCTGGATTGGTAAAGGGCAGAGAGCTCCAGTCCGACTCAGACGCCAGCAAGGTGGAGGTGGAGTACTGGTTTGGGCTGGTATCATCAAAGATGAGCTTGTGGGGCCTTTTCGGGTTGAGGATGGAGTCAAGCTCAACTCCCAGTCCTACTGCCAGTTCCTGGAAGACACCTTCTTCAAGCAGTGGTACAGGAAGAAGTCTGCATCCTTCAAGAAAAACATGATTTTCATGCAGGACAATGCTCCATCACACGCGTCCAAGTACTCCACAGCGTGGCTGGCAAGAAAGGGTATAAAAGAAGAAAATCTAATGACATGGCCTCCTTGTTCACCTGATCTGAACCCCATTGAAAACCTGTGGTCCATCATCAAATGTGAGATTTACAAGGAGGGAAAACAGTACACCTCTCTGAACAGTGTCTGGGAGGCTGTGGTTGCTGCTGCACGCAATGTTGATGGTGAACAGATCAAAACACTGACAGAATCCATGGATGGCAGGCTTTTGAGTGCCCTTGCAAAGAAAGGTGGCTATATTGGTTACTGATTTGTTTTTGTTTTGTTTTTGAATGTCAGAAATGTATATTTGTGAATGTTGAGATGTTATATTGGTTTCACTGGTAA